TAATCTGACAATGGCATGCCTACAGATAGGTTTAGAGTAGTAACTTGACAATGGAATGAAGCAAACTTTCTCTTCCTCCATCCAAATTGAATGAATTCTTGCAAAATCACAACAAACAATAAGCATCAACAAACGACAAGAAAATGTAGCAAAGTAAGTAAAACCTTGATATTCTATTCTCGTATTTTATTGAAATACCTTGTTCACCTAAAAAATATGAGTAGATCTTTAATTTGATTGGCTATTCCAAGACATTCCTTCAGATCATAGCCAACTAGTGTCAAGATCACCTCCAGGGCAGATCCAAACTTTCGAATGTGGACATGGAGCATTAGTTACAGCAGGGAAATGGACAAAGTGGTAAGATGAAATCAAATTTGGTGTATCAAGATGAATTGCCTTCAAACTAGCACAGCTACCGAATGCTAAGCTTTTCAGCCTATCACTTGAAATCATAATCCTTTCAAGGAATTTACACCCCCTCACAGACAATGCAAACGAAGGGAAATTGTGATATAAGGTGATGAAAATCGGTCTGTAAAGATTCACCCCCTATTGTAACTTGTTCAAATGTGTACACCCAGCCATGTCAATAATATCCTGTTCTCCCATTTTAAGACAAGCCAGATTTTGAAGACTTGAAGCAATAATTCACACACTAAGAAGTTCATCCGAGGATTGATGAATCAAATGACACTTGAGTTTGAGAGCTTTAGAGACACGCAAATGCTAAAACCCAACAGTTGGAAATCGACAAGTCTTCAAGTAAAGGGCATTCACTAGTAAACTTGTGGACCATCTGCTCATTTATACAGACCTGTTTTAAAGTAAGACTTTTGAGAGAACATAACATTAGAGCATCAGAGGCTGCACTATCTTACAACTACACAGCCTTAAAGTGTAAGCAATTTTGCAGAAAAGATCGTTTGAGGCAAAGTGTACATTGCGTCCCTTCTGTATTGTACACTGTTAAATAATCTGCCATAAGATCAATATCAACTCTTTTACCTCTTTCTCTACTGCAACTGTACCATTCATCAATACGAAGAGATCTTAAGATTAAACACATATGTATAGCTTAAATTTCTCCATGGAGTACTCAAGTCTGCAGAACCGACGCAGGGTTACATCGACAAATTTCATAAATCTTTTACATGAAATTTGTCTATCCCTCGGTACAATTTGTTGTGTAACCAACTTTTCGTATGAAGTGATTTTGATCAAATTCCAATACAGGAAATGATGCCCGTAAATAATACCATCTCTTGGACAAGATACTAGTTCGAGCTACCTCTTTTGGCCATTGACAAGACAAGATTAATGAATGATAAAAGTAGGCAACTCTGAGATTCTATCCATGGCATCAAATCTGTAACATGAATACATAAGTATAAAATTTATATTTGTTCATACATTAAGAATCCCAAAACATAAATATATTTTATTAATAGAAAGTAAAATAATCCACAAAAATTTCAACAAATGCACATAAGTTGGCCAAGAACAGTTGCAGGTAAGAGAGAAAGAAATGCCTACAGATAAACCAAACAAAAATAAAAAAGAGAGAGACTTACTGGTGATTATTTGTAATAACTGTGCCGCAGAATTGTTGGTTCTAGCCAGAAGAATTACTGAAAATTAGGAGGTTTTTTGTAGGTTTAGATAAAGAAAGGGCTCAATCTCCAGCTACATCCAGTTAACTAGCTGAAAAATTAAGAGGGCAATTAAAAGGTCTTTGGTCTTGGACTTAATGGAAATGCCATCAACTTTTTCAGTTTTACTAAATGGACTTGTTTTTTTATTAAGACAAATTAACGACAATTAATCATTTTTAATTAGGATTAGGAGCTTGACTAATTTTTAAAAAATTATCTTTGTCCCCAAAAACCAAAATTGTTGCAAGAAACCAAATCTAAAACAAAGAATTTGATCCCCTCCTCCTTCCCTCCATTAACGTTGGAACTCCCTTACCTATTGCATTTCTTCTTGGCAAAACCGAAGCCCACCACCTCCAATCCTCCTACTCTTCCTCTACATCTTCTTCTTCCTCCACCATTCATCTTCACTAGAAGATCCACCTCCTCCTACTGACATTTCGTCTAGGTTTGCGTTACTCTTGTTTGTATTTTAGATTTCTATCCAAAAAGTGTAATGGATTGGGTTTGGGTTATGATTTCGATTTGTGGTTTAGGTTTGAGTTGTGTTTGATGTAATGCAAGTTGAAAAGAGTGAAATTTGTTGATGATTTTCTTGCATTGTGGGTAACTGAGGGGTGGTACAACTGCCACAACCGATTATATGTGCAGGTGATGAAAATGGATTCCAAGTTGATGGATCCTTAAGCGACTGGTAATGGCAACAGATCACTTAAGCGATTAGATATTTGGCAATAGATTGCTTAATTGATCTAGTGTATCGGTTATCAAATCGTTAAACACTCTACAGATGCTCTTTAAATCTATCACCCTTAATATATCAGTTAATAATTTTTTTTTTCTTACAGTATAGGTCCTTGGCTATTATTAGACATGAGACAAGTTGTTTTGGAGTGTTGAATATTTTGTGAGTGGATGAGACGAAGTTGCTAGAAGTGGATTGGGAAGAGCCAAAAGTTATAGCAATTGTTGTGAGTATAGAAGTTAGTTTTGATAAGTTGATTGATGATCATTAGAAGAGGTGGGTTGAGTTGCTAACATAGTGATATAGTTGTAGTATGTTTTAAGCAGAGTTCTTGCACATTATAAGTACCCCTATTGTATTAAAGTCAGATGAAGATGTGAAGTTATATATGCTTCATGTAGTCAATACTTTGGAAGTTGGTTCAAGGAAGGGGGAGAACGAGCAAGTTGGTGTGAGAATGCTGGTTTTAGTTTTAACTAGAGGACATTGATTTCTTTGTTGAAATCAAGAGTAGGTGGTGAGAAGGACACTGTATAAGAGATTGGTCATGGGGGGTAAACAAAACTATGGACGAAAAGACACCGTACATGTTCCCACGGATTAGAGATTCCTATAAGATGATGTAGAGTTAGCTTGAGAGGAAGAGAACACTATAGTCTTTTATGTAGATTTAGAATAGGCAATTATAGGTAGTAGTGAATCATCTCATGTTTTTACTGATCAATCAAACTGCACGTGGTATTTATATGACAACAAGAGGAAGTAGTGAGGAACTAAATTTGTTGTCGTAAAAGGTAATTCTGAGTTCATTACCAAAAAGTCTAATTCAGCAAAGTGACGGTTGTATTGTCATGATCGAAATTGCAAGTGTCTGGTTTATTGTAGAAGTATATGGGATCTGAAAAATTTATTGTTGCACATATACCCGTGGGCACACATGTGGGTTGGGACATATTTCAGGCCACACTACAAGCCTTCGCTGATATTATTGGACAATTTGTGGAGAGCTCTTTATTTTCTTCTCTTCTTCTTCTTCTTCTTCTTCTTCACTAAGTGTTTGTCTTTGTGTTTCTCTCTTAGACTGAATGCAATGCAGAGAGAAGATTGGTGGCGTTTTTATGGCAGTACTTGGATAGTTTGGTGGGTGCATGACATTGTATATAAATGCAATTTCATCAGCTGCCAGTGCCAGACACAATAAAGTTTCTGTAAGAGTAAGATTAGATCTTTTAATTCTTTCTATTGGTCGGTTTGAAGTTATTACAATGATACATTTTTGGCCACTAATTTAGGGTTGTAGAGTAAATGCAAATTATACCAAACAATTAGCTTAAGCTTAATTAATGATAGGTGGATGGTTAATTTATTAATTGGAATTCATTCGAAGAAATAAGAGAGCTTATAGCATCACGGAGGAGGATTTTATAATAATGATAAAGATAGATAAGAGAAGGGAAGGGAAAAAAAAAATGCATAAATTCATAAATTTGTAATATGATGATTGTTAATGTATGTTGGATCCATATATACGGTAGGTGGATTCTTAGATGTAGGTGGATTCTTAGATGTATTGTTCGCTTTGGGACTTGAGGAACCTTACGGTTTTATCTTGAAAAAGTGTTTTTAGGTGGTGAGAGTGTCTTTGTGTTATATAAGCGACCAAGACCCTCGTCTTCTAACCGATGTGACACTTTGACACTAACTTAATCCCCTATATGGTAGGCGGATTCTTAGAGGCTGCATGGTTTTGTCCAAAAAATGTGCTTCTAGGTGGTGAAGGTCTTTTTGTGCTATATAAACGATCAAGACCTTCTTCTTCTAACCGATGTGGGACTTTGGCACCATACAATCCCCTAGAGGGCGAAGGCACAAAAACCCCCACACCACTTTGGCTTAGAGTCTTGATTGTTTATATAGTACAAAGACCCCCTCATCACCTAGAGTCGTCTTTTCAAGACAAAACCGTGCAGGCTCCTAGGGCCTAAAGCAAACAATACCTATAGAAACTTACTTACTATGTGTTTGGATCCGACATACATCAATAATTATTTATAACTAGAATCTCTTCGAGAATACAGAGTTTATAAATCAAAGAGGTATTACATCAACACTCTCACATTAGATGTCATGTTGCCTTAATGTAAGTCTAAAGATAAAAAATTGGTTATATACTTCGTAAAACCACATTAATAATACTATCGTGTTATCATATACTTTATATTTAACAAAAATGAAACATAAGTTGACATAATGAATATGGGAATTTTGTGTTCAATTTATTAATCCCTTTCTAAATACTATTAGTTGACAATGTGTTCTTAATGTTTAATAAAATTCGATAATATATTTTTTTATAAAAAGATATTTTTTCTATGTATATTTCTAAAAGTAGAAATCCCCTCCTTTCCATAATAATTACTTCCATATAATTAAATGAACATTTATAATCATTTTTTCTAAACAGAATCTCTCTCTTTACTCTTTACTAATAAAAATACTAATAAAAATAATAAATAAATAAAACAAAATTAATTATTTTAATTTATTGTTTTTTATATTTGCACAAATACCCCCAGCCTCGTTCACACTCACTCAACAAAAGCAATGAACAACACCACCACTCTCCGTCACCCTCACTCTCCCAAATCCACCACCACTGCAACAATGCTCGACCGCTCCGTCTCCTCCCGCCGCGCCGCCGCAGACACAGAGGCCCTTTCCGCTCTACCCTCCGACGCCGCATCCGACGCCGTCGACGACTCCAAGACCAAACGCCAACATATTTCCTTGTTAGCCTCCAAGTACCTCTCACGCATCGGCCACGTGTCGCCCTCTGTCATCCTCTCTCTCTTCGTCTTCCTCTTCGTCGCCTCCTTGATCTTTCACTACTATCGTGGCCTTGTCTGTGTTTCGCCCTACGATCCGCGTTCTCGGGGCGGACCCGGGCTCTTTCGACCCGATGCGTTGGAATCTGATTTCGGATATCTTGGTGTTCCCTGGTGTAAGTTTTCTATCATTTTTAATTTGATTTTAATGTGATTTTCAGATCTGGGTTAATTGAATTTAGTTTGAATTTGATGTAATTTTTTATGTGGTTTTAATTTTTAGTCGTTAATAATTTGATTTGATTATGTATTGTACTAGGATTATTTTAAATGGGTTGTTGAGAGATGGCTTCTTTGTATGTTAATATTGGGTGAAGTTTAAATCTCTAAGTAATTTTGGCTGGATAATGAGAGTTTTAGGTTCCTGCGCTATTTGTTGATAAATTGATTTGACAATGGATCACATAGGGCCTGAAGAGATGACTTTATTTTTATGTTAAAAGCTTGTAAAGTTGTTATTAATATTGGATTGATAATCGGAGTTAAAGGCCACTCGGTATTCATGATCGTTTGTGATTATGAATGTGTTGTGATTTCAAGATGATTAGTATTTGTATACTGTAATTGGCATTTATAAGGTGTCCAAATGCGGTCTCAATTTATTGGTTGAATTTCAAATCCTTATGTCTGAGATTTTCTGGCGTTTGTAATGGTAAGGCGAGTGGGAATGTGGGGTTGGAGAGATACTTGTGTAATTACATGCATAGATCTTGAAGCGGTCTATGGATTTGGTTTAAGTTCAGCTTGTGCTTTAATTTTTTAGCTGAAAAAATAGATATAGTTCTGTTGTTCAGTTTTGTATTTTTAATACTATAAATTCATGAATTTAGATGGTGTGTGGTTTTCTGAACTAGATCTGGATATTATTTGGTATCATTTATTGAACTTTTGACCATTTTGATTTACAATCATCTTTTAAGGTTCAGCTAAATATGTTTTCCTACCGGCGCACTTTTTTGTGCCAGTTGGAAAATTTCCTTTTCTTCTTTCTTTTTCTTAATTTTTTTTTTTTTTTTTAAATTTTTCTACTTGATCGTTGCTGTCTATAAAATTGGAATTCATTTGTGTTGAATATAATCTGAATGCATACAAGTTTTAATCTGTTTGAATTAATCAGTTGATATTGTTGGGATTTGAGTTTGAGCATGCTGTATTTAATATCTTATGGTCTACATTGTTTAATTTTTGTCCTTGTCAAAAGGCAGATCGAAACAGGGAAAAACGGTTGAATGGACATCCAAGGATTTGCTCAAGGGTTTGGAAGAGTTTGTACCAATATATGAAACTCGTCCAATTAAGAATAACATGTATGGGATGGGTTTTGACCATAGCTTTGGGCTTTGGTTCATTGCTCGGCAGCTGAAACCTGATCTAATGATTGAGAGTGGTGCTTTCAAGGGGCATTCTACTTGGGTTTTGCGGCAAGCAATGCCAGAGACCAAAATCATTTCCCTTTCACCTCGGCATCCTGCAAAGTACATACAGAAGGGACCTGCTTATGTTGATGGAAACTGCACGTATTTTGCTGGAAAAGATTTTGTGGATTTTGGTAGTGTCAGTTGGGGGAATGTGATGAAGCAACATCGGATTTCCAATCTCAGCCGGGTCCTAATCTTTTTCGATGACCATCAAAATGAATTGAAAAGGTACTAAAGGTCTAACTGAGTTTGATTATAAGAAAATTTTTTGCTCCTTATATTTATACTAATAGGCTTGTAGCTTGCTCAATGCTGATTTCTCTTAATTCATCCTTTTACGGAAGAGTAAAGCAGGCACTGAAGGCTGGCTTTCGGCATCTTGTTTTCGAGGATAATTATGATACCGGAACTGGAGACCATTATTCTTTGAGGCAGATATGTGATCAGTTTTATATAAAAGGTGCGAGCTCTCCCCTTATTTAATATTTGATGGCTTGCTCATGAATGCCTTGAATTATATAATATGAATCACATTGGCTATCATTTTGCTTTGTTTGGGGCTGTTTCTACCTCTCTGTCTTAAATTTAGGCCTGTGTTTTTTGTCCTTGCTGAACAGCCTCTCATTTTTTTACTGGGTTCTCCCTTGTTTGAAGTGCCTTCATATCATTGATATAAACTTTGTAATTGAGTTGTCCTGTCCCTTTTTCCTTGTAGTTTAAATGGGAGCTTATCTCTCTTTCAATTCTCTTAGCTGTGAATATATATACCATCAGAGGAGGAGGTCTCAACAGCAACCACTGGGACAAGCTTTAGTGATTTTAAATTATTTATTTTTCCTTTTTTCCGTTCCTGATGGTCAGTCAATGCTATTTACAGTTATATTAACTGGATTATAATTTATTTTCATATAACCTTACATCTACAAGGACATTGTAAGTTTTCAAATAGTGGGATAATTTGCTCCACCTTTCATGTTTTTGATTCAGGAGGTGGCCATAGCTGCTTTAGAGATAGCGACGAAGCAAGGATTAGAGCAAGAAGGAAGAACTTCTGGGAGAAGGCAGTGGATGTAGAAGAACTATGTGGACCAGACGAAACCTGGTGGGGTGTTAGAGGAGAGATGCGAGATAACTTCAACCACAGTAACAAGCCAATCTCTTATATGGAACATTTTCAGAACAGCCGTTTTATTGAATCAGTTCTAGATGTTTATTGGGAGCTCCCTCCAGTGGCCGGTCCTTCCCTGACTCACCAAACACGATATGATCCTGCCCGTGCGTCCAGTCCAATCGTTGAAGATGGCCGCTTTGGCTTGTTTCAGCGACTTGGTTTAGGTAGGCTTGAGAACTCTGTATTTAATGGATATACCCAGATGGTGTATCTGCAAATTTCTGAACAAGAATCATAGAAGAACCATGAGCAATAGATGAGGATGTTTTTTTAGCTTCCACTTCACAGAAAATTTAGGTTTGTTAATATTGATGTATTTTGCTTGGTCATAGCTAGCCGCTGAGAATTATTGGTATCAGTTATTATTTCTATTGTTCATTAAATTTATTTAATCATATCCACTCATTTTAACTTAATCACAATGTTTTAAAACCTGGCCCAGCTTGGTTGGTTCAATTGGGACCTGAGGCTTTCACTGGGTCGGATTACCTGTTTCACTATTCATCTAAAACCCTAGAAATTGGGATGATGATCGACGAACAATTGAAGGTTGGGATGTTGGGGCTTTTGAAAAAAAAGTGTTGGTGAGTGCAATGGTAGCGACAAAGTTGATTTCTGGTGAGTGAATCGATCGGAAATCGAGAAAAAAGGTGGTGGCAACAACCAACTTTTGCAGGCGATTGGTGAGGCTAACAGGAATGGGGTGAAGTGGGTTTTGGTCAGGTTGCTGAGGGGAGTATTTTCATAGTGATGTGGAGGGTTGTCGATGTTGACGGTGGTGAGATGTGGCCTAGAATGTTGACGTTGGTGAGATTTGGCCAAAACAGGCAAATCTTGAGTAGATTTTCTAGGGAATGGGTTCAAGGGATGATCGAGATTGCATTTGGTGTGTCGTTGCTGTCAATAGTCAATCGTTGACTTGTATTTGGGGTGTGCTTGCTAAATTTCAAACTTATAGGGATTGGTAATTTTTGGGGTGAATTTGGTAAATTTTAAAATTTTTATCACCCAGTTTGACCAATTAAACCGGTCAACCCGAGATTCGATAACTTTGTCAAGTTTCACCTCCGTTTGGTTATTAAAACATTGTTAATTTAATCATATCATTTCAAAACTTCATTTATTATTTATGAACATTAACGATACATATTAGGTAATATTGTTCTCATGCACATGTCATGTTAATGTTATATTATAAAATTCAATGTTACATAATAAAATTCCTTAAACGTAGTAGTTTGCCTTCTAAGTTTGTTTCAACAATAAAGCAAACACCATAGGAATCAAAAGGTGGCGAAATGACCAAATACCCTTTTCGACAAAGGATACTCCTCACATAACACTTAAGCTTGTTTATTGAACCCAATCAAGATCAAAGCACATAGTTACATGTTGATTGATAGCCCAAACATCGCGTAGTACATCATCATCTATATTAAGTAGCTTCCAATTTTTCCTCCTCCAATCTTCCATTTGTATGGTGCTCAGAATCTTTACATCTTTCAAGTAATGTCGCCAACACTTGATATTATGAGAATTGCAGCAATCTACACATCTATTCCTCAGTTCCTCATATAGCCACTGTAGTTCAAGCAAGTCAAATAATTCTGTTAAAACTTAATTACGATAACGAACTTAAAAGATATATCTTAATAAGTTCTACAAGTGAGTTGTTAAATTGTATCCTATGTCAATGAAATGAATTCATATAGGATAGAAATATTAAGAACAATAATTTAAGATTAAATGAAGACACCTGAAGGAATTTGTGCTCATTTTCCTCGATTGCATTCACATGCAAAGTCCTCGGACAACAACTCCAAAGAAGGCCATCTAACAAAACTCTGTAATCTGACAATGGCATGCCTACAGATAGGTTTAGAGTAGTAACTTGACAATGGAATGAAGCAAAACTTTCTCTTACTCCATCCAAATTGAATGAAATCTTGCAAAATCACAACAAACAATAAGCAATCAACAAACGACAAGAAAATGTAGCAAAAGTAAGTAAAACCTTGATATTCTATTCCGTAAGATTTATTGAAATACCTTGTTCGACCTAAAAAATATGAGTAGATCTTTAATTTGATTGGCTATTCCAAGACATTCCTTCAGATTCATGAGCCAACTAGTGTCAAGATCACCTCCAGGGCAGATCCAAACTTTCGAATGTGGACATGGAGCATTAGTTACAGCAATGGGAAATGGACTAAAGTGGTAAGAGAATGAAATCAAATTTGGTGTATCAAGATGAATTGCCTTCAAACTAGCACAGCTACCGAATGCTAAGCTTTTCAGCCTATCACTTGAAATCATAATCCTTTCAAGGAATTTACACCCCCTCACAGACAAATGCTCAACGAAGGGAAATTGTGATATAAGGTGATGAAAATCCTGGTCTGTAAAAGATTCACCCCCTATATGTAACTTGTTCAAATGTGTACACCCAGCCATGTCAATAGATATCCTGTTCTCCCATTTTAAGACAAGCCAAGATTTTTGAAGACTTGAAGCAATAATTTCAACACTAAGAAGTTCATCCGAGGATTGATGAATCATAATGAACTTGAGTTTGAGAGCTTTAGAGACACGCAAATGCTTAAAACCCAACAGTTGGAAATCGACAAGTCTTCAAGTAAAGGGCATTCACTAGTAAACTTGTGGACCATCTGCTCATTTATACAGACCTGTTTTAAAGTAAGACTTTTGAGAGAACATAACATTAGAGCATCAGAGGGCTGCACTATCTTACAACTACACAGCCTTAAAGTAGTAAGCAATTTTGCAGAAAAGATCGTTTGAGGCGAAGTGTACATTGCGTCCCTATCTGTATTGTACACTGTTAAATAATCTGCCATAAGATCAATATCAAACTCTTTTACCTCTTTCTCTACTGCCAACTGTACCCATTCATCAATACGAGAGGATATCTTAAGATTAAAAACACATATGTATAGCTTAAATTTCTCCATGGAGTACTCAAGTCTGCAGAACCGACGCAGGGTTACATCGACAAATTTCATAAATCTGTTTACATGAAATTTGTCTATCCCTCGGGTACAATTTGGTTGTGTAAGCCAACTTTTCGTATGAAGTGATTTTGATCAAATTCCAATACAGGAAATGATGCCCGTAAATAATACCATCTCTTGGACAAGATACTAGTTCGAGCTACCTCTTTTGGCCATTGACAAGACAAGATTATATGAATGATAAAAGTAGGCAACTCTGAGATTCTATCCAGGCATCAAATCTGTAACATGAATACATAAAGTATAAAATTTATATTTGTTCATACATTAAGAATCCCAAAACATAAAATTATATTATATTAATAGAAAGTAAAATAATCCACAAAAATTTCAACAAATGCACATAAGATTGGCCAAGAACAGTTGCAGGTAAGAGAGAAAGAAATGCCTACAGATGAAACCAAACAAAAAATAAAAAAGAGAGAGACTTACTGGTGATTATTTGTAATAACTGTGCCGCAGAATTGTTGGTTCTAGCCAGAAGAATTACTGAAAATTAGGAAGGGTTTTTGTAGGTTTAGATAAAGAAAGGGCTCAATCTCCAGCCTACATCCAGTTAACTAGCTGAAAAAGTTTAAGAGGGCAATTAAAAGGTCATTTTGGTCTTGGACTTAATGGAAATGCCATCAACTTTTTCAGTTTTACTAAATGGACTTGTTTTTTTATTAAGACAAATTAACGACAATTAATCATGTTTTAATTAGGATTAATGGAGCCTTGACTAATTTTTAAAAAATTATCTTTGTCCCCAAAAACCCAAAATTGTTGCAAAGAAACCCAAATCTAAAACAAAGAATTTGATCCCCTCCCTCCTTCCCTCCATTAACGTTGGAACTCCCTTACCTATTGCTATTTCTTCTTGGCAAAACCGAAGCCCACCACCTCCTAATCCTCCTACTCTTCCTCTACATCTTCTTCTTCCTCCACCATTGACATCTTCTACTAGAAGATCCACCTCCTCCTACTGACATTTCGTCTAGGTTTGCGTTACTCTTGTTTGTATTTTAGATTTCTATCCAAAAAGATGTAATGGATTGGGTTTGGGTTATGATTTCGATTTAGTGGTTTAGGTTCTTGAGTTGTGTTTGATGTAATGCAAGTTGAAAAGAGTGAAATTTGTTGATGATTTTCTTGCATTGTGGGTAACTGAGGGTGGTAGCAACTGCCACAACCGATTATATGTGCAGGTGATGAAAAATGGATTCCAAAGTTGATGGATCGCTTAAGCGATCTGGTATATGGCAACAGATCACTTAAGCGATTAGATATTTGGCAATAGATTGCTTAATTGATCTAGTGTATCGGTTATCAGATCGTTTAAACGACTCTACAGATGCTCTTTAAAATCTATCAACCCTTAATATATCAGTTAATAATTTTTTTTTTCTTACAGTATAGGTCCTTGGCTATTATTAGACATGAGACAAGTTGTTTTGAGTGTTGAATATTTTGTGAGTGGATGGAAGACGAAGGTTGCTAGAAGTGGATTGGGAAGAGCCAAAAAGTTATAGCAATTGTTGTGAGTATAGAAGTTAGTTTTGATAAGTTGATTGATGATATCATTAGAAGAGGTGGGTTGAGTTGCTAACATAGTGATATAGTTGTAAAGTATGTTTTAAGCAGAGTTCTTGCACATTATAAGGTACCCCCTATTGTATTAAAGTCAGATGAAGATGTGAAGTTATATATGCTTCATGTAGTCAATACTTTGGAAGTTGGTTCAAAGGAAGGGGGGAGAACGAGCAAGTTGGTGTGAAGAATGCTGGTTTTAGTTTTAACTATGAGGACATTGATTTCTTTGTTGAAAAATCAAGAGTAGGTGGTGAGAAGGACACTGTATAAGAGATTGGTCATGGGGGGTAGAACAAAACTATGGACGAGAAAGACACCGTACATGTTCCCACGGATGTAGAGATTCCTATAAGATGATGTAGAAGGTGTAGCTTGAGAGGAAGAGAACACTATAGTCTTTTATGTAGATTTAGAATAGGCAATTATAGGTAGTAGTGAATCATCTCATGTTTTTACTGATCAATCAAACTTGCACGTAGGGTATTTATATGACAACAAGGAGGAAGTAGTGAGGAAACTAAAATTTGTTGTCGTAAAAGGTAATTCTGAGTTCATTACCAAAAAGTCTAATTCAGCAATAGTGACGGTTGTATGTCATGATCGAAATTGCAAGTGTCTGGTTTATTGTAGAAGGTATATGGGATCTGAAAAATTTATTGTTAGCACATATACCCGTGGGCACACATGTGGGTTGGGACATATTTCAGGCCAGCATCGACAAGCCTTCGCTGATATTATTGGACAATTTGTGAAAAGTCAGTTTGTTGAAGGGAAATGTCCATCTCCTAAGGACATTCAAAGATATGTGCGTACAGAGTTGGAATGTGATGTTAGTTACTGGAAATGCTGAAAATTGAGACAACATGCACAAAATTTTGTGAGGGGCACACCAGAGCACGGGTACACAATACTAGAAGCATATCGCTATATGCTTGAGTTGACAAACCAAGGTAGAAAGACAACTTTGAAGTGGGACAAGAATATGAGGTTTAAATATTTTTTTTGTTGCTTACAAAGCTACTATAAGGGGTTCTCGAAACATGAGAAAGGTGTTGATTATTAATGGTTGCTTTTTGACGAGAAAGTTTGGAGGTATATTGTTGGTGGCCACTACACAAGACTGTGAGAATCACACCTATCCCATTGCATGGAGTGTGGTTGACTTTGAGAACGACAAGTTGTGGACTTGGTTTTTTAAGCAATTACTTACGATAGTGTCTGACAATGACGAGTGGTGCATAATATCTTATAGTTACAACTCTATAAAGAAGGGGATTGCCATTATTTACATTCTAGCACATCATAGATTCTGTATGAGACACCTTAGCGAGAACATAAAATAAAAGTTTAAGTGTACTGGCCTCCTTCAGACATATTACATGGTAACAAAAGCCTATCGAGTTGATGAGTTCGAAGAGTACTTTTGGCAAATCTGAATCAAGGATGATAAGATTGCTAAGTATTTTGAGCATGAAGTTGGATCAAGTGATGAAGTAGAACTTATTTTCCTAGAAGAAGGTTTGATGTCATGACTACGAACATAACGGAGTCCATAAATTTGAAGCTGTTAACAAAAAGAGAGTTTCCTATTGTTGCCCTTTTTGATGCAATACCGAGGACATTGTCACACTGGTTCCATGAGTGTTGTACAGAGTCAAATAATTTTACTACAATCCTAGTTCTGTCAGCTAAAAAATTATTGCGAGAACGTATTAAACTTTCAAATGCACAATTCGTCTATCCTCTCAATGCTCAAAAGTTTACCATGTGTGGCTATGGTTTAGATGTCCTAGTTAATGTTCTTAGTAAAATTTGCAGTTGTAAAGTTCTTGACATTCAATGTTTATCATGTCCTCATGCACTTACAACACTTAGACAACAACGCAAGCCAGATTATAGTTCAAGAATTTACTTAGAACTTTGCTCTCCTCTCTATACGATAAGCCATTACATGCTAGCTTGATTAGAAACGATATATCAAGTTCCTCCAGAAGTGTAGTGGGTGATGCCGTGAGAGTTGTTTGACATTATCATTCATCCGCCATTCAAGAAGACAGAAAAAATGGAGAAAAAGAATTAAGAATTAAGTTATTCCATCAGCCTGTGAGGTTCCTTAGATGATGAATAGGTGGTCAATTTGTAAGCAACGTGGCCGTAAGAAAAGCAGTTGCCAGAATCGATGAGGTGCATGTCAAGAAAATTAGCTTCAAAGATAGAAGTAAGCAAGGTAGAATCAATTAGGCCACAAGCAAGCAAGCAGGTGTTATTAGATCGCTAAAGCAATTTAGTGTTCGCTTAAGTGATCTAGTGTTCACCAGATCTGCAAATAAGCAAATCGCTTAAGCGATCTACTATCATTTATAGATCTGAACAGTAGGTCGCTAAAGCGAACACTAGATCTCTTAATCGATCTGCTGTTCATGCCTTTTTAAATCCCATCATGTTAATGTAATTTGTGGGTTTATTTATTGTAAGGCTATTAGAGTGTATCTTGTGATTGTGTAACTTTTATCATAAAACAATGGGTGTTTTTATTATACATCTTTCATAGCTTTCTAGATTGCATGTTTGTGTTGTAGAGTCGTTTTATTTTTGCCAAGTTGTAGATTGCTGAATGTCAAAAACCATGGTGATTTACAAATGTCAAAAACAATGGTGATTTACAAATAGATCTGTAAATTGAACACAAAAATAGTAGTTCGCTTAAGCAATGTCGGTTATTGCTTAAGCGATAAAGGGTTATCTATCTTGGATCACTTAAGCGAGAGTTAACATCACTTAAGTGATTGTAGACTTGAGGATGATGATTTTGACACAAATTGGCCTTGGTCGCTTAAGTGATTTCGGCTATTGCTTAAGCAATCAAAGGTTATCTATATTGAATTGCTTAAGCGAGAGTTGACATTGCTTAAGCGATTGTGTACTTGATAAGGATATTTTGACACAAATTGGCCTTGATTGCTTAAGTGATTTCGGCTATCGCTTAAGCGAACAAGGGTTATCTATACTAGATCGCTTAAGCGAGAGCTGATATCGCTTAAGCGATCATGTACTTGATAAGGATGATTTTGACACAAATTAGCATTGATCGCTTAATCAATGTCAACTATCACTTAAGTGATCAAGGGTTATCTATACTGGATCGCTTAAGCAAGAGCTGAAATCGCTTAAGCGATCGTGCACTTGAGGATGATTTTCACATTGCCTTGGCCTTTGTCGCTTAAACGATCAAGGCTTATCTAATGGGATCGCTTAAGCAAGAGCTGACATTGCTTAAGTGATTGTGCACTTGAGGATGATTTTGACACTACCTTGGCCTTCGTCGCTTAAGTTATTTTAGCTATCACGTAAGCAATCAATGTTTATCTATACTGGATCGCTTAGGCGATCCTGTACTTAGAAGGATTATTGGACAACCTAATTGTGTCAACACATATTAAGGCAATGTCAGAAGATTACTAGGATTAATTTAAACCTCGTACATTCACAACATCAAAATATAATAGCTACGATATGTGACTAACAACCCTATGATACATGGAGGAATGTCATAGCACACAAGTGTGACATGTTAGTAAAAACGTACATCATTTCACAAATATGGATGGTTATGATTGAATAGACAACTGATTCACATTATAGAATATAATTCTTCACACAAACGTTCATCACAATATCACATGATTGAGGAGAAAAGAGGCAAATTGGCCTTGGTCGCTTAAGTGAGCTTTGACATCGCTTAAGCGATTGTGTATTTAAGAACGATTATTCTAAGTATAAAAGCAAATTAGCTAGGGGTGAGCACGGGTAGCGGGTAGAACTGAAACTGGAATTGGAACCGACACTGTGCGGGTAGGTTCCTGTTCCATTTTTGTGGAACCGAAACTGTGCGGTTCCGATTCCGGTTCCTGCATGTGGAGGAATCGGAACCTGGAAAAAAGAACCGACAGCAGGTACCCTATTTTGG